GCTTTATTTTAAAAGCCTATATTTATAAAGTGTGTACACGTATTGTAAGATTAATAATTTTTAAAATGTATCATATATAACGTGAATACGGGAACTGGTTTCACGAACAGCAGTGCATAAAGATATGCAGGAGTTTCACAAGAACCTGTTACCGGTTCCTATCCTGAAAAGTACAAACCCAATAGAAATATTCATACCCTATTTCCTTAACATTCATTTGAATATTATTCTACTATCTACACCCAGATCTTTCGAGTGGTCTACTCTCTTCAGGTTTTCCATTAAAAAATGTATATGCATTTATTTTACCTCCTGTGCGTGCTACATGACCTGCTCATCTCATCATCCTTAATTTTATCATCCTAATAATATTTGGTGAAGCTTCTCATTATGAATTTTTCTCCAGCCTTCTGTCACTTCCGAACAAGAATATAACTACTGTAACAGTAACGGCAATGATGATAACTTTCTTTAAAATAGGAAATGATGGTTGGGGATTCGAAGATGTCCTTCCTTACTTCAAGAAGTCCGAGAATAATCGAGATCCTTCCAGGGCTGCTAACACAAATTATCACGCAGTTGGAGGTTTGTTAAATGTACAGAGGTTCTCATACCAGGACAAGAACGTACAGCTTCTGATGGATGCATTCCAGGAGCTCGGCTACAAGGATGTTGACATCAACGGCGGTACCCAAACTGGTACCACCCTACTGCAATTTACACAAAAGGACGGACGTCGGATGAGCACTAATAGAGCTTTCATTGCACCTTTTCGCAACAAAAGAAAGAATCTTAAAGTAGTAACTAACGTCAGAGTTACCAAGGTTCTTATCGAACCTAACAGCAAAACAGCGTACGGGGTCGAATATGCTTCGGAAAGGCACAGACACGTCACGGGCAAAGCGTATGTAAACAAAGAAGTTATAGTTAGTAGTGGCGCACTTAAATCGCCACATGTATTGATGCTCTCTGGAATTGGTCCTAGGAGTACTCTCAGTTCAGCTGGTATCGACGTCATCATGGATTTGCCAGTTGGTAAAAACCTTCAAGATCATGTCACATGTGTAGGTCCTCAACTCAAAGTAGAGGGCAAACAACAGACTCTGTCAAGCAACCAGAATATCATAAGACATTTTCGTGAATATGTACGTAATCATAAAGGGCCATTTTCTGCACCAGGTTCTTTACAAGTTTCAGCGTATATAAAGTCTCGATATGCTGATCCAGCAATCGATTTTCCTGACATTCAGTATTTCCTGCCATCACAAGCAGTGTTTAATACCAGTACAGGTCAAATACGTTTAAATACTCCATTTTGTGAATATAATCGGATTTATTTCCAACCTAGTGTTATGTTAGAAAAAAGTATTGGTTATATTACTATTAGGAACAAAGATCCTTTTCTACAACCTGTTATAGTTCCAAATTATTTTAAAAATATTGAAGATCTGAATGTCATAATTGATGCTTGTAACTTCGTAGCTAAGAATTTGTCCAACACAAAGGTATTGAAGGATGCTGGTGTATACTTAGACACGAGACCATTACCGGACTGTGCCCACTTGGAGTTCGGTACTGATGATTACTGGGCCTGCCTAGGGAGGAATTACACCGAAACACTCCACCATTTCTCTGGGACCTGCAAGATGGGTCCCGACAGTGACCCAGAAGCTGTTTTGGACCCGCAGCTGAGGGTACGCGGAGTCAAGCATCTGCGCGTTGTTGATGCGTCAATTATTCCAACTTTAGGGAATTCGAACACCAATGCGCCAGTAATAATGATAGCAGAAAAAGCGTCTGATATGATTAAAGAGGCTTGGCAGTAAAAGAAGAAATATTTAAAAAGGACAAGGATTATAGATCATATAAACTTGTACAAGGAGCAAGGAATTGGTTTATATGAACATAAAATATTCTTATGTACCTATAGACTTACATGTGTATTCAAACAAGTAACGGCGTCAATTATTATAAACAGATTCTGACTTCTTTAACGTTGCTGTATCTATTAACAGCAACACCTATATATAATTGAATTAGATTTGGAATTTGGGGGGAAATTAAGATTTCACGGCCTATTCTATAGGCCTGCTTAGGCAGCACTTTGTAGTTGAGCCCACAGAGTTAAATTTAGTTGTCATTAATTTAGGTTTTGTCACCTCAGTGCACATTTCATCGATAAACTTAAAAAATCTTGAAGTAGCGTTGAAGATCAGAGTTACCAAAGTTTTCTTATCGATACTAAAATAGACGTTAGAATTATTTCTGTACAAAATATATAAATAAATAAATACATTCCGACAAATTAAAATGTAAATTTTGTTTCCAGTTTGATGGCATCTCACAAAAATTCATAAAGAGACGCAACCAGTGGAATAATTTAATATTAAAGTTTCTTGAAGTGGTGTTCATTATTTTCCTCACATAAATATACCCGGCGAATCACGTTACGAAAGACTACACAAAATATGTTTGCCGACATGGCGTCTACTTCATGTCGAATTTTGACCTGCATCTATTTGCTGTGTGACAGTGAAAAGAATTTACTACGTAAAAAGGAATTCGATGGTCCAAAATGTGGTCTTGACTGAGGCCACAATCTTTTTCATATAAACTGCTCATAAAACAGACTCCGAAAATACTTTTCGTTAATGAGGTTTTGAACACTCTTCGCATTTGACAGTGCGGCCTGTCTCATTACATTTAAAGCCACATTTATCAAGGCAAATCCCATAAAGCGAAGGCAGACTGTCTAAATAAACATGACAGTAAGCAAACACTGTATATGCCGGGAGTGATTCGTCCTTCATCACACCCGAAATGCCTATCATTCGACTACTTTGACTAACATCTGACGCCATGTCAAAGTAGTCAGTCAGCAGACGTGCTCCGTCCTCGGATGGCTCCAGTTTCAAATTTCGGTCCACGGACCGGTTATTCTGGCTGGAGATTTTTCTCTCGATGGAGAAATTTCTCCTCGGTCCCTCCAGTTGCCTTGATAAAACCTTAAATTTGGCCACCAATGCCTCCTTACACATCTTTTCGTAGTAATGAATGGAATAGAGTCTACTCACGAAACGTCGTGAAAATAAACCACATGTCTAGCATAATATTAGTAAAAACATCAACCATCACGACTACAAACATTTGGAGAATCATTTCAACAGGCAACGTTTACGTGGCGTGCCAAAAGGAACGCGAGGCCCCTACTAGCATAACTAGATCAGATGTAACACTATTTTGATTTTATAGCCGCAGAATGAGCGTAAATCAAACGAATTTATATTGTGGACAATTTGTGTTACTATTTGTTGTAAAGAACATATATACGTAATTGATAAGAGCGTGTCTTTCAACTTTTGTAAAGTTCCAGTAGCTGTATCTTACAGCCTCACTGTACCAAGTGCTAACTAACGCGGTGACGAGTAAACATACGTATTTAACACTACCTGACTGCGGATCAGTAGCTTATGTTCGAAGAAGCTTGGTTACGGCACTGAAGCTTTGCTGGAAGAGAGAGATTGTTTCTCAGTTGTGAGGTGAAACGATCCAGAGCGACTGGCGACTCAACGAGACGAAAGGTACTGTAAAGCAGAATTAAAAGACTGTAATAAGGTTTTAGACATTATTACGGTTTTTTATAAGTTTTCTGAATCATACACATAAAACAAACACACTAAGGAGTTTGTTTGTTCGTATGTTTCAGTTACGGATTTCGATTAAATTTGGTGCGTGAGTGAAGGGGGTGACGGACGAGGATCTACACTAAAGTGATCAGGTGAGTTTAATTTTAATTCGTATCAGTCCAACGTAATATATACTTTTGATGGAGTTCAAATCTAATGTTCATTACTTTATTTAAAAACGGTTCCTCACGTACGAACTTAGTGCTCGGTATAAAATATGCAACTCACAATGCCAACATTGACAATTTAATTCAGAGTACTTGAAGTATGACTAGTTTGTCAATGAAAGGATTGCAGATTTTCCATCAATAAATAAATGCCAGAGTCAATGAAGTATGTGAAATAGAAAATAACGCACAAAATCTGAAGTTATAACGGCGGTTAAAGTATTGAAACTTCTGTAACTGAGAAGGAAGTTCGATAAACAATTATGCCACTTATGCCCGTATTTACTGTTTAGAAATAATTTAAAAAAAAAACAAGCCTTAGTAGTATTTGAGGTTTCCACAGCGGTGAGTCTGAAGATGACTGTCGTCTGGGATGGAAGCAGCAAGCACCTCTGAAACGTCAGTAAACTTCTACCAGACCACACGGCGTAATAACCCAGAAGACAGCCATCTTGAGAAAATAAGTTTTCTTTATTAAGCTGTAAGTGTCCATAATTAAACAATGGACAAAAGGGAGTATATAATATTAATAGAATCCTCAAACATTATTCGTAATGTTCTTACAATAATACCAATTATAGAAATGTATTATTTTAACAAAGCTTTAAACTTATTCCTATACAACAAAATATCAGTTCCAGTACCTGAAAATTTGTAATAATATGCAAATTTATATAAATAACAACCTAAGCAATTGTGACTATGAAGAAGATGACTGGCGGTGATGTCATGAACAAGATTCGAACGCTAAACCAATAATTTCGAGATCAATTATGTCACTAGTTGTGTCATTTCGAAGTAGGCTGAATTTCATCATTGAACACAGTCCCATCATTTCCGCAGTCAAGAAATATACCTGAGGACAAAAAACGTTACCTTTTGTGTGCACTGTAAAGGAATAAGTATTACCTAACGAAGGCCTTGATAAACACACAGCTGTTGAGCTGTCATCATTGGCACATCACGAAAACCAAGGATATTATCTGTACTCTTTTCATAGCTGAGACAGGCTTTATTTAAACTACAATTAATGACATTGCACTATGATAAGTGATGTTTCGTTTAGACAGTGCACGCGAAGACGTAAGCGTGTGAATTAGTAAAGTCTTCTAAACTGTAAGTACAGACTCAGGCGGTCAGAAACGTGATAAGTGTTTGCATTACAGATTACAGAATCTTCATCAAATAAAACAGATAATGCATCTGATCCTACATAAAACCTTCTAAATTTAACAGCGTTTGACGATTAGCACGGGGCATTTTAGTACCGGCATCTAATTCTAGAAGCTTCGAAACATGAACACTTCAGTTTGTATCCGTAATTAGAATAATTACAGCATTTCTTCTCAATTCAGGACATTCAAATTAACATGATAGACTTCAGAGTATGGTTCGTAGTTTCCTTAACAGTGTTTTCCAAGCTGCTCACATAATAGGACGTCGAAGGGGCAGGTTGTATAATCACGACATGGGAAATGTCTGGGATTCAGGGTCGTGGCCTATTCTGAGCAATTATCTCAGAATTTTCTTGCAAGGAGTGAGTAAAGCCACTAAAAATATAGGACACTTATACTTAACACATGGAACAGAGTCTTTCTTGAGAAACTAGCAAGGAATTCCCCAGTTTTGTCAGAAAAAATGTAAAAAGATCAGTGATGAAATATGACGACGAATAAATTATAAACTGTGGTGCAGCAAAGTTGACGGATAGTAGCATAGTTTAAAGGACAGCAGAGAATATAAAAATGTAAATATATTTAGAAGTAAACATATGACCAGGGAGTAATGTCCAAAATTGTAAACTGAAACCAACAGATTAATAAATATCAATATGATTAATATCTGAACTAGATGAATCCACTCCACAACCTCACAACCTACGTCTGTATGATTTATCATAAGAATAGCTTGGATAAATGTTAAAGCTTCTAATGACATCTGATTTTACGCAATGTATTTATTCGCTTTTATTATCTACACTGTAGGTGAAATAAGTGAAGAGGTAATATTATTCTCCCCTTATTGAAAATGGCATAGGCTACTTGTGAATTAAATTAAATTTAGACATCTGACGTTAAAACACATATTTTGATTATAATCTTGCATTTCTCTGCATTGAAATTTATTAAGGTCAAAAGAACCTGCCGTGAAATGCATCACAGTCGCAATCTTGCATTAAACTTGTAATTTTGGAAGTTAGATGGATGGATGGATCGATTGTGTGTGACAGAGCGAACGATTAAACATCGACAGTGATTATACGAGAAGCAGAATGACTGATAATTGAGAACTTGAAACATGTGCTTCTCCGTATCAGTTAGTTTTAGGTATCCACCCAATGAAACATGCATTCTTTAGTCCCTGTATAACACACTCAATACGACTGCAATTTCTATTACAGACGATGCTTCAAGTGAGATTCCTTGTCAAGTTCCTCTTCTTGACAATTCTTTTCTTCAGTCTGATAAATGGTAAGTGCTTCATTGCGACAGATTTTAAAAACTTAAAGATTAATAAATGTTTTTGTACGATGTAAAATACGGACTAAGGATGGCTGAAAAGAAGAGAAGAAGGAATTTTAAACTAGACTAAATAACTGTGGACTTAGAAAGTTACACAGGACAAGCCAATGGCTAGCTTCATAAGTTTTACTATCCACTTAATACTTCTTGGCGGTAAGAGGAGAATATATTTGGGGGGGACACGCGAATTTGCAGTTGGAAATCCTGAAGAAGGAAAAAAAACCATGGGAGGTCTAGGGATACTTGGAAAGATGGACAAATATTAATATGAATATAGTATTAGGAAATACGGTTTCAATGTGTGGACTGACTCAGGATAGACTCGAATGATGTGTTTTGTGAGCACGATGATGAACACTGGAATTTAATACAAAACTCAGAATGTTTAAGCCAGCTTAAAACTTTTCAAGGCAGGCCATAACCGTTCAGTACGCAGAAGGCGAGGAGGAAGATGGTCATTTAGGAATCATTTGGGATTCGCTGGCAGAAAGACGAAGAATAGAACGGAACTAATGGACGGAATTAGAATTACTTTGAACCGCAACTAAACATGGAAACTAAGGAAAAGTGTCTTTTCAACTTCGTACTGACGGAAATGGGTTGAAATCTTCTCTTCTAAATGTTCGATATCTACCAAACTAGTGTGCGCGAGGTTAAATCTAGTAGCATGCATTTTAATTTTCACTTGCTCAATGTTCCGATGGTAAACCCATATTGTAACCTAAAACTGTCTGTTCTCTTTAATACATTGAGTATATTTTCTTTGTTTCAGGTGCATGGGGCCGGAACCATAGAGTCGCTCGGAGTCACAGATTCGGCTATGCCAGAAATCGTATGTATTCTGCGACTTTCAATTACACTACAACCGCCAGGCTTATCACAGCAAAATATACCAGTTGTAATCGCCGTCACCAAATTGCATACTTCAAGGTCATAACATTACAACGTTATCAGTAGAACCCAGGCCCCAATTATATTTCCATCACGAGTAAAATAACGCAAAAAGGTCAATTGAATAAAAATTTTCTTGGATATTATCCATCGTCTAGTAAATATAAAACGTAAAACGACGTTTCGGAGATGGGACTCTATCTCCGTCTTCAGGTTCCTACACAGTTGGGCCAACTAGATAGAGCTGATCCCTAGTCCCATCTCCGAAACGTCGTTTTACGTTTTATATTTACTAGACGATGGATAATATCCAAGAAAATTTTTATTCAATTGACTCTTCACCATCGTCAAGAAGTTTTAGATTTGAAACGCAAAAAGGGCCAACCCAAACCGTCTGACATAATTTAAATCAAAATATAGTTGTCTAAAGAAAAGTTACATTACTGACAGAGGCACAGTATCTAGAAGAGTAAATGAACAAAGAAAAATTAAGTATGTTCTATGCGGTGACACGAATGGCAACTATTTTAAGAATAGCATAAAAAGGGATTCGCATATTATTCGAAAAACAACCAAACTCAATTTGAGAATCGTTCAATGAAATATTATTCATCGTACCTCATCACGAATTGGAATCAACAATAGCACTACGATTTAAAGATGCCCTGACCTGCCCCTGCGTGTGACGTAGCAAGCCACAGCTCGGGCGGTACATTGCAGCTTTTAAATTCAGAGCCAGACATTGGTACTAAAAGCGATGGAGCTTACAAAATTCTGTCGACTTTCAGGCCAAGTGCTGTGGCAAGAAGATCACAAGAAATGTGGCGGGGAGAATCAATCGCCGATACAGATCATCAGACATCGTGCAATACCTCTGCCGCTGAGAGCAGTGGAGATGGTTGGCTACCACGACCCGTTACCTGGGCCTCTTAACCTCACAAACAATGGACACTCAGGTACGGTATAAAACGACAACGTAATTATTTCGCTGTTTCCCCTTTGACTGTATTAAATGAAATTCGAGAATGCAATTCGCGTCTGTTCACTGTAAATCTCTGCCATTATTAATACTAATTTATATCATATTATGGTAGGCCTATGAGTTAGAATATTATGTATACATATATTAATCCAATCTTAAGCGTAACAACTTTCAAAGTAAAATGGTACAAGACCTTAACAAAGAGCAGCAAAAATGACATTATGATGAATCATTTTGTTAACAATGAACTAATTTTATTTACTTTAGCTATGTAAATGTGACATGGGGTTTATATTTGTATCTACAATTGCTTAACATAAATTTCTGCTTTTCATTAACACGGTTAATAAATATTAATTTATGCCTCTGCGCGCTGTAATAAATACCTCTCGTTCATATTTAGTTCTTAAACTCATGGCAGAATGAACAAACACTGAAGAAAATATACAATACGTAAATGTATTCACATCCTTAATTATGGGAGAGTTAATGCATTCTTAACCTCGGCACTAAACGGAGGTCAGCAACCTGCTTCACACTTCAGCAATACCCACTGCATAAGAGGCAGGAAAGGGGAAGGGCAAAATCGATATTGTAATTACACGACCTCTGTTTCTTGGAAAGTTATGCTGAGACCAGAAGGGCTGACGAGGTCGATGCACCCCCCTGCAGTATACGGCGCCCTGCTCAAGGACCATTACGTTATGGACACGCTGCACTTCCATTGGGGTCTACGTGATTACAGGGGCAGCGAGCACAGAGTAAATGGCGTAAGGCAAGTAGATCACGACCCCTCAAATATCATCAGACAAATTTTTACGGTACAACCCCAGCGAAAACAATCCAGTTTACGGGCAGGGGTTTATAACGCTGAAAAAAATGTTTTTTTTATTCTTCCTACGGGCTTAGGTATCCAATGGAGATGCACATCGTCCACAGGAAACAAAGTTACGGATCTGTCCATGAAGCACTGGGCCATAGCGACGGGCTCTCAGTCCTTGCGTTTTTCTTCGAGGTAAGCATCGTCTTAACATTTGCCAGTTCAACGATTTATTCGTATACTTTTTTCTGGCCTTGTATATACTACGATGATAATCGGGGCGATTTACTAAAACTTACAATGGGGTGTTTTGCAGGTTAGAGAGAAGGACAACCCAACACTACAACCCTTGCTGCAGAAACTTCACCTAGTGAAGCTGGAAGGTCAGTCCGTTTACCTGGACTCCACTTTCACCATGGCATCGCTTCTGCCACGCGACCTTGAGATATATTACACCTACCGTGGGTCTCTGACCACGCCGCCCTGCTCCGAGGCAGTCACCTGGATCGTGTTTCCGGAGCCACAATTCATCTCTTACATGCAGGCGAGTGTGTCCGTCCCCTTTAAAGCCGACGCTAGACAAAATTAATAATTTTAAATTCAGCCCGGACAGCAAATAAAATATTATCCCATTACAGAGATCAACTGGTTAATGTTGTTTAATGAAATAATATCTGTTGACAATGAGAATAATACATAACCTATAAATGCGAAACAAATCGCTGTTGAAGCAGGCGAGAAAAAATGTTACCATTGGGCTCTTCAACGTTTATCCCATCATACCAGGCTAAGTTGTTATTCTATGCCGCAACACCGTGAATTCATGGAGGTTTTGTTACCAACGTTTCAAAGGAATGTTGCCTTCACCTTCAGAATAGAAATGGAGTATTTGAAAAATACTTTCACTTACCAGTAATGTGTGACAACTTACAATGTGATTAATTTCAGCTGAAGAAGTTCAGACGACTATCTTCTGGAGAATCCAAGATAGCCGACAACTACCGCGTGCTGCAAGAACTCGGCAATCGAATCGTGTACGTCAGAAGAATGTTTTCGGACACGTCGAGTGGGAACCTTACAAACGATGAGCAACTCTGGTATAACTGAAACCTGAGCTGGAGATTGTTCCAGCGGGGACGATTACAAGCAATGAAAAATTTTCTTTAGAGAAATTGTTCTGGTTAAATGTACATCGAGCGGACTGAAAATATTTTGCCTGTAGCTTTGAATTTGTTGGTTCTTGGTTTAAAGAAGAAATAAATATTCATAATTTTTCATCTCAAATCACTTTGAAGTACAAACTACTAAGAATATAAAATATTATTAGTCAGATTTTATATAACCAAAATAGTTTATCAATAATATAACAGAGTTTGTTACACATACAGTAGACCAAAATGTGTCAGGTCTCTAGCTCACAGGTAGAAGGAAAGCAAATGCACGTACTACGTAAAAACATTCATTACTGACCTAGAAATAAGCACTGTCGCTGGGAAATAATGTTTACAAATTGAGAGTAGACGTATATTCTTCCTTACCTGCTACCTCTCCTGCCCTTTCAATCCCAGTATTTTATTTCTAATGGATGCTGAATGCACAGATTTGCCCCTTCTACAGTACATGGTAAATTCTTAATATATTGGGCAGCTGTAAATACAGTAGATTTTTATTGTACTGAATTGTAAATTTGTTATGAATGCCTAAATGTACAAGTGGATGTATTTAGAAATTTGAAGGTAAAGTGCCTTAAAGAATCTGTGCAAATCTCTTGATACTTGACCATTATAGACATCTTTCATAAGAATAGCGAACACTCGCTAGCTGTCGGGTGCTATTTACCCTTGGCAAAAGAAAGAAGGCTGAAATAAAAGAATAATCAGCTCATTTTTACAAATTTATCAATGAAGTTTATGTTACATATTTTATTACTTGTTACGTCTTGAGTCGCCAATCATTAACGCCCATTTGCTTTGTCTTTTGCAATTTTTTTATTCTAATTTAATTAAGTTACAAAGTATCAGTAATGCACCTCGTAGTATATGAAGAGTGAATGATCGTATGTTCGTAACTTTAAAAATGTATATAAAATTATTTTATGGTATCGAGCTGTTAGTGATTAAACACGTGCATTCTCCGCAGAATCTAAGTTTCATTAATTGTATCACCTATAATATCCCTCCAAGATCTTTGACTTGGCCCAGTTACCAACCCCATAAGATCTCATCACTCTACCAACAGAAAGAGATCGGCACAGCAGAACTCTTAAGCGGCCCATCCACGTACGAGTCCGGCTTGGCTCGGGTTCCATTGAGCCAAACTCGTTTGTGGGTGGGGTGTCACGAGCCAAGTCAGCTATGCGTGTGTGGTGGAATATATCCGAGCCCGGCTCACGAGTCAAGCTCGCCGAGCCAGACTCATACGTGGATGGGCCGCTTTAGTTTATAATATGTTCATTACCACCAAGGGGAGAGTGACCTGTACATGAGAACAAAAAGAAATCGCTGATACGTAAGAATGTGATATGAATTATTTAGCTTTCTCTTTCAGTTATCATTTTGGTGGTTCAACTGTGACTCTTCTGGTACCACTGGATTATGGTACTGTACAAAGTTCCTCAGGCTGAAGTGAAATTTCTCAAATGTGGGAAAGAACTGCACCTGTAATACGAGCAATTTTTTAGAATATTTAAGATTAATACCAGATGTTATGGTGGATCAAAATGTTATTTTCCAGACAACTACTAGTACACACATTCAATGCCTGATTATATTTAACTCTGATAAATACTTCTGGAGATCAAACATGTGGGTGTGTGAATAAATAATCATTTTCCCATTTACGTGTCGAGTGAAAACTCTCTCCTGTGGACTGAACCAATGACGTACATTCAATAACTAATCAAAAGTAAGTTACATATTAATTCAGCTGTACATTCAGGCAATGGTGATGACTAAGTGGATGTATTTCATCAAAATCACTTCTACTAAACAACAGACTAAACATATTTCTGTCACACATAATAATAATAACATATACTGGTACCAACCTTTCTGCGTATCCACTTGGATAATCCTTGAACATGTTTCTCCACAGTCATAAATCTCTTATCAATAATTATAAGAGCACCCCAATCATTCTTGTGGCGGATACACCGTCCTAATGCTTGATTCAGAGCCCTGAAAATGGATAATAAAGAATCAGTTGCTATAACAGGTGTCAACAGCCTATTCAGAGGGTGGATGAGCAGGTGGAGGTTCAGGGCACCCTCATGCTCTTGGGGTGTGAAATCACCCCTAAAGGCTGATGAACCCAGGTGGGTCAACAGCATAGGATGCGGAAGGCAAGGGCAATAGACCACATTAAAGATCCTCAGAATTTTCAAAGTATCAGCAGCTCAAGAGCTGCTGCCAACCAATCCTAGGATTGATTACAAAAGAAGAAGAACAAACTTTTAATTATTTTACTACAGTTGCTGCAATTGATCGGCCCGTCGCAAGGCCTCTACCTGTACACAGGACAGCACAACACAGAAAGACGCGGACAAACATCCATGGCTAGAGTGGGATTCGAACCCACGGTCCCAGTGACCAAGCGGCACAAGGCCCACGCCTCAGATCGTGCGGCCACTGCGGACCCCACTGTTATAATGCGTCAAAGTATTCAGTTATTCACAAAGTGTTCAAAAAAGAAACTAAAACACAGCACCACCTTATATGTGATGCATTAAATAATGAATTACCCTGTTTAATATTCCTTTGAATGACAACAGACTAAACAGTAAATGGATACAGCTGAAGTGTAATAGCACAAAAATTAGGCTTCAATCACAGACAACACTAATTACAGGAAAACTTTAAATTAATAAATGACAACTGGGCATAAACAAAACATTTTTGTGATATGAAAATTTCAGATTTTACATGGCAAATCATGACTGCCTCTTGCGTAATTCCTTGTGCTATAATGATGAATGATTAATGCTTCAAACGTTTCACAGAAGAAAGTGTAAAATTGCAGAAATTAATAACAACCCCTCACATCTATATTTTTATGCAAATTGACAGCATTATACATGCCTGTTTTATATTAAAATACCAGGTGCGCTGTTAGGAGGAGTAAGAGGAGTGGATGAAACAGTGAATGGGCAGACTTCTGGAACTGCTTAGAAGGATTTCAACAGGTCTTATCAGCATCTAAAACAATCATGAAGGAGCATTAAAAGAACACAAAAATATTTCAGTATCTTACTTACCAGACTATATGCTGACCTTGCATATCAGATGACCCATCCTCTCAGAGGTAAATTTAAGAAAAAAAATTATTACTTTTCCTTATAAAAGTCATAGCTACAATTCTCCATCAAAAATACAGTAATTTTTTTTATCCCTGTGTAATCAAAATGGCCAATTTCAGGTTAAGTTTGCTTTTTTCATGCAATCTGTGCCTACCAATTCTTTGTATTTGACATTTATTGACAGATTCCAGAAAAGTTATTAATATCAATAGTCCATGATATCTGTTTACCCAGATTGGTAATGTTACATGTTTACATACTTTTGGACATGCATGACAAAGCTTACAGCAATTATGTATGGTATGAGAAGTTGTGCTTATTAGACGTAAAGTTTATTATAACAGATCACATGTGCACAGGGACTAAGAATACCTTACACAAAAAATGCCGGCACACCTCACTACTCACCTATACGCCTGTGTCTCGTACCACTGAGACCCAGACTTCAGGCCACGTTTCACGTTTGCATCATTGTACTTTCTCTTTAGGCCCACTTGTATGTCATACAAATGGGGATAAGGTATTCCAACCTAAAACATAAGAATATAAAATAAGCAAACAAACAAACTATTAACACTACAAAAAAGACACTAGAGCCATACGCGTTTCAACCTCAAGAGGTCATCATCAGTGGCAACAGTGAAATTAATTCATTTAACCAAAATCGAATCCTGGGGTCCTGGGTTCGATCACCGGCGGTGCCAGAATTTATAACTTGTGTTGGGCATGGCTGTCCGGATTCACTACACAATTCTGAGCCTAAAGAAGGAGACTGCAAATTCCTCTGAAACATCTAAAATTTTTACCATGTCAACATGCTGTTGTATACAGAAGGTAATGAATGATTGCTGAGGAGAGATTTAATTCTTATTCCATTATGATAACCGTCAACCAGTGTCAGTCAGTATGTAGCAGTGCAGTATAACTGCCTATATATTTTAAACAAAATCAATATGATGGTGGAACAACATTTCATGTCTGTACAACTCCAGGTATTTAAAAACAGAATGCATGGACATTTTGCACGAAGTGTGATTTGTATTTAAAAGTATGAATACCTAGCAGAAGTGAAAGACACTTGCTCAGGCATATTTTGACTTACAGTTATAACTCCCCGGGCTCGGTTATCAGCAAAGTCAAGTCCTTCACTAACTTTGCCACGCATGATTGCAAATAGTAATGGACCTTTACCCATTCCGAGCTCACAGTGTCTAACAGAATCATAATATGCTTGGATTGTAGGCAAGAAATCTTTGTTGCCTCGCATCTCACACAGAACTTCCTTGTGCACCTCCAGCTCCTTCCATATACCACTCATAAGCCAGCTGTAACAAAATCATTAACATACAGAGAAGTTCAACTAGAAGAACAACATTTGCATGACATATGCAGACCCTATGATCTGGGTTAACAATTATTATACTCATAAAAGTTTCATGAAATTAGCCAGCTATCATGATGGTTATTTGAACTATACATTTATATCCTTGAATTTTGTGGTAAGCTGGTTTACATTTTTAAAACATCATGAAGTTTCACTTCGAAGATTAAGTACGGTAATGTCTCTAAAATGCTGGTGAACGAACCTACTATAACACAATATCATCTTCTAAGAATGGAATGAAGACTAGCCCATCAGTAAGTGGTTCAAAAGCAAGCACACATTTCCACACACTTATACCAAAATATATAAGGATATAATAAAGAAATGGGTTTTACAGGGAGAGAGAAAATAAGGTTCCATGAAAAATACAGACAAGGATAAAAATAAACAAAGAAAATACAATAATATATACAGTTGTTTCAGAACCTATGTACTTTTCCTGTTCAAATGACACAAGACAACAGTAGATGAATAATGTAGTTTAGTTTTAGAGTTACACTGCTTTAATGAGCTGCAGTTATTTATTTAGTGTTCTGTCTGACGACAGGTCCATATGAACAGGATCCTTCCATCCTTTTCTCGGACTGGGACCTGTTCATATACGTTCTTGGCAGATGATCCAGAAGTGGTTTGCCATTGCCTTCTTCTGTGTGTGAATGGAGTAATTGTTGGGATGCCACGGAGGAAAACTCCGTGTTGCCTAGACCATGGCCTTGCCCAACGCAAGTTATAAATTCTGGCACCGCTGGGAATCGAACCCGAGACCCCAGGATTACAAGGCCAGCGTTGAGCTGCAGTAGCCAACACCAAACTGCATGTTTCAAGGTCACAGTAAAATTATACATGGCTGTTAACATGAACAGTCTAGCCCAGGTCAGTGAAGATGACAGTTGAGAACTTGCAACAGTTTACGTAGGACTGTGCAGTAAGAGGTAGTGAAGTTCTTCTGTGGCCTTGGAACATGCAATTTGGTGACGGTTACTACAAATCAATGAGTTTCAAACTCAGTTCCTACACAAAGAAATAAATCTGTGTGCAGATAGCATGACAAATACAGTCACACTATAATGAATACATTTTACCATCAGAACATACAAGTGTCTAGAAATGTAGAAACTTGGGGAGAACTTACTGTTGCCGTAAGGCTTCCAACAATCCATATGAGGGAAGGAAGCAAAGGACACCATATGGAATCACTTTACAGACTTCAAGTATAGTGTTTCCTAGCTCTTGCCTGAAGTCAGACAGACTTGTATGTTGGTAAGAAACTTGTAGCTCCCTACCTCTTGGTCCAGAACCAAGGGATCCCACCCATAACTGAAAGCAAGTATACATAACACAGTCAACTGGATACACACACATTAGATTGACCTTTCAGTATATGTTTTCTCATTCAGTCTGTCAGCAGAGATAATTAATTACCCGATTTTCATCTATGATATGAAGAGCCTGCAGTTCATTAGTAAAAGTAGTACTGAGCTCAGAGGTGAATGTCTCCAATGGTGCTAGCGTGCCAGAAGTCAGTACAATGCTTCGTACCACATCAGCGATTGGTTGGAATATCACGCCAGGATTCATGCACAGAAAGTTCAAGTAATGTCCCCAGTCTGAATGAGGAACATCTTCTGCTATCAGCCTTGGACTGCCACTTGCATTTGACCAACCACTTGGCAGCACATCCTAAACATAACATCTATATCTCCAGATCAATTTTATATAGGTTCTATTATAATTATGAGGAAATATAAATGTGTTATTAATTAGTCCTTTACGGACTAATGATTAATACATTGACCTTTACCGACGTGCATCGCATCTTTAGGTGTGGTTTAGCTAGCCAGAATTCACACTAGTATACCAATAAACTATCAACTCTGGAATTAAATCTGACCAGCAGCTCTGCAGTATGGATATTTGAATACCTTATTTCTTTGCAATAAAGGATAAATTTTGTTTCTGGTTGTGTATATTTATGTTGATAGACCATTTGTGCACAAAAGTGCATAAAGATACACACACCATCATTGAAAGGTAAGGCCTGACTGAACACCTACTTCAAACTTGTTAAATGAGACAGTATTTATATCACACAGTCAGCACAAAATTCTTTGAATACACTACGAAAATTTCACAATTAGTCTGCAACTTCCAGAGGAGAACAAGTTTAGAATGTTTCAATGGCCTAGTAAATATACTGCTTCTAGATTATTACAGTATTAACATATTATTATTACTACAATAAAAATAGTAACATCATTATCTAGATGGTAATTGTCAATATTGTTATTGACATTAATGTTGCTGTTATTGACATTAATGTTGCTGTTATTAACATTAATGTTGCTATTGTTGGCATTAATGTTGCGGTTATTGACATTAATGTTGCTGTTATTAACATTAATGTTGCTGTTATTGTTATTTTCATTGCTACCGTAAATGTTAACATTATCACTGTTGTTATTACTGTTGTTATCATCACCACCACCATTATACGAACATATTACTCACTTTTTCGAAAGAAGAGCCTACAATTGGATTCCTGCCCACTACCACATAATAGTCCCAAATATGCTCCATGTTATTATCATACATCAAGCCAAAAGCTAGAGATAGCCCTTCAAGAACAAAAACTGTGGCTTTTTGTACACCATGTTGTTCATAAGATGCCTTTGTTTGCATAATGTTCTCATCACTGTTAGTTGCTGCAACTGCCTCCACTGTGAATTTCTACACAAACAAAACATCACACCAATTAAAGAATGATTCTCTTCATGCTTTGTTGCCTAGACTAATTGAAAATTTGTAAAGACCACTGAAGAGATGGCATGGAGCCACATGGATTAATACCTGACAGAATGATGATGATCATTTCTTATGTGAGGCAACATACATGGTAAAACTGGTTATTATGACAAGAAAAGAACAATTTTTTATCACCAATATCTGGTAATCTTTACTTTCAGTAAGGGTATTTAATGTATCTGAGACATTAACCTATAATCTGATTTTTTGAGCAGGCAATATTTGTGCTTGCTTCCATTTTTGTTACTGACCTTAAATTCTAATATACTTTCAAGGTTGACGTTATGTTCCTCAAAACTTGCCACAGCAATTGCTCCACCCCATGTGCTGGCATCTATCTTCTCCTTGTCAGTCTGATACATTTCTGCAAATCGTATTTTCTGTGACATCCACGTCATCAGGTTACTTAAGAACGCTGCCTGCAATAACACAAGTGGTACTCTGGGAAACTAAGTGTAATACAGATTACTATTATACATACAGAAGAGAACATGAAAGACTACCACATATATTTTAAGAGTATCCCAGGTTGTTAAGATTTCAGGTTCTCGTGGCAATGAGTATGGAGATGATTGACCGTCTTCTGGGTGTTGTATAATCCGGTAGAAACCGAGTGATGTTTCAGAGGTGCTTACTACCTCCATCACCAGAATGATGTCAGTCAATATCTATCAGAGTGCACACTGCAACATTCCAAAAGACAGCCATTTTAATATTTGTTGCCACGAGAACTTGAAATCTCACCAAGTTTAAAATTGTTTAATAATTTAAATTTAAATTTTCTGCTAACATCACTTATTTAAAAAATTGCAATATACCACTTTTGACATTTATTCTGTTAATACAAGGTATCATCAGAATAATCAGATATATATATATATACTTGGTCATTTGCACTTACAAACTATGTTAGTACCCGGCTATTATTTGAGACACAGCATTTAACTAGAACCATAAGAGTACTTCTGAGGGCTTGAGATAGGATGTGCAACATTAAAACTCACCCACCGTAATACCAACTTCACCTTTATGTGGTATGCCCTGCGTTAGCAATGTCATGGCTGCACACATGTTAAAACTGGCGTGGAGGAAATACCAGCATCATTTAATTTAAGAAACAATTCAACTAAACACAAAATTTTGCAATTCTGTAGAGTAAAAGAACAATATGGATAATGAGGCCCTTAAATCAATTATTGAAGGAGGTCCCAAAATTTAGCCAAATGGCCCCTTTTACAACTAGAATATTCTTTTGAATTTAAGCTTAAAAATTATAAACACACAAATATACTCAGAAATACAATATTAGTTCTGTACCAGGCTGTCATGTATTTCAGGTAAGATTCCCATGGATGCAACTCTCTTGCAGTCTTCCATTGATTGGAAAATGTCATCATATAACACAGAGCAACTTGCAGCATCTCTGCAGGAATCCTCAATGTTGTGTGCCTCATCCAGCAAGATGACTGCTCCACGCAGCTGCAGTTTCATCTACAATAGTAGTTCAGAGACATAAAGCACAGGCAACACAAATATTAATCACACTTGCCACTGACAATGTAATTTATGATTCTGAAAGACTGAACCACAGATATTTTAAATTATGGTAGAACAAACAAAATGTTTTTTTAACAGCCATTCTGATACATACCATGTTTCTAATCTTTGGATCAATGAGATAAACATATGGGCAGAACACAATATCAGCTGTATCAACCAGATCACGTGACGCAAAGTAAGGACAAGACTTCACTCTATGGCCTGCCTGTACGAGATCCTCCACATCCCATGGGGACACCATCTTGCAGTTTTCAAGAGCAGCATGTGATGACATATGATTGTTTTTGTACATGCATCCATATCCCTGGGGGGGAAAAAATTGTACATCAACAACACAAATTATGAAGTCAATGTCACATAAATATGGTCTGATAAAAGCTCTGATTTAATTTAATATACCTGGTATTCTACCAAAAGAGACAAAAATCAGGCACTAATTGTAAATTAAATATGATTAATTAAGCCAGACAAAGCTATGCTGGCGGCAGCATAGCTACTGGTAGGGCCTCCCTAGCCAGATTGGTCGAGGGGGAGAGGTCAGACTAAGACAGGTACCCTGGTCCTCCAGGTTGGGGGTTGGGGGTTGGTGGCAAGGCTAACAACCTTGCACCGTAAAAAGGAATACGTTTCGAAACCTCAACCTCGGACAGACAGACCTAACACAGGAACGAATGGAAGAGGAGAATTGATGAGGCCATGGACCGAATACGGACCGGAGAGCCATGGAAGAAGAAGAAGCCAGACAAATTATGCAGCCTATGCTGTTAACTGCAACAGAAGAAAATACAATGTAGGTAATAAAAAATTAAATTGAATTTTTGTTAATCTGTATCTTGCAATATTACTTAATGCTTCTAGATTTCTGTTGCAACTTACGTTGTAAAGCAAATGTTTTCCATGGTTTCAATACATCTTCATTAATTTATTCATTCATAAACAGTGGAACCAAATGAATAAAACAATGAATTTATTAAACTTACTGCCATATTCTCTACCTTCATTAACATGATATAGATGAGATGTATTTAAATTCTATGTCCTGTAATAGTAACCTAAATTTTTAATATTGCATGTGAAAAACTAAATGTGCCTTTGATGTACTCTTGTTTCCAAGATAATTTTCAAAAGAATTAGAATTTGTAGGAAAACTTCCAGTGTTTTCCTTAAAACACATTTCCTGACATTTCAGAATTATCTCCATAAGCCAGTCTTGCAGTTGAAAAAAAAAAATCCTTTTTGTCATTTTATAGCCAGAGATGTTCTGTGATATTATCAACTATGTATTATGAAGAAACTGAATTAATTACCTCTGCAGCACATTAGATTTTCCAGTGTCACAACTCAAAGTTCTTTTCAGTTAAAAATTGTATCACTTAGTTTCCACAAGAAGCGGAAATTGCTGTTAATTCCAGATGCAACAATTTTAAAACTCTGGCTAGCTGCTATATCTACCTCAATGGGATCAAGCAACGTATGGCACATCTCCGTCTTGTTTTTGAATTTATGACCGCTCCACGGTATCTGGATACAAGTGTGTTCTCTGCTGGACAGTATAGTCATTCTGCACAAACATTAACATTAAGACACGCACTTTCAAGATATAAAAGTTTCTTGCTTCACCAGACATATCACCACTGGATTTTTTCCTGTGGGGTTACGTCAAGAGCAATGTGTTCCGAACACCAGTTAACGGACTTGATGACCTGAAGACCCATATCAGGAATGCGATCTCGGCTATTCCAGCGGACATGCTCCGCAGAACATGTGACAAAACCTGTTATCAAGGTATGCCATAAAAATTAAAAAATAACAGAACTAATTTGCAAGGACTTTAAGGTGATGTAATTGGTACAAAATACATCACAATACCATGCATAACTTTGATTATTACTGCTAGCAAAGACAGACAGCGTTATTAGAAACGAAGTGTTAGAACATGTAATACGTTCAGTTACTTTCAGATCTGAATGCTTAATTCAGTCTTTTAACTGGCGGACTTGAGCTTCACGCATCCAATCACAAAGCGGATACATACTTCACATCCTTGTAGACTGATTTCCTGAGTTCACGTACAACTTGCTTTATCTGTTGGTGCGTTCTCGAACAATAGAAAATTTTTGGTGCTCTGAAACAAACATTCAATGTCCAATCATTTTGCATGAATTACTACTATAATCTTCATTGTACAGAATTTTAACTTCATTTATGGAAAAATCTAATCCCAGACAGAAGTTAAAGCTTATAAAAACAATAAGGCCTGCTTCAGGACATAAATACCATACTGAAAAAAGTTTTAAAAGAAAGTTATAGATCTTAATTATATCTATATGTTATGGCACACACACACACACACGTTTTATATCATAAGAAGTTTCTAAGCCACTTACAACATTTCATTTGAGATTTATTATTGGATCAATATGGGTCATAATATAATTTGCTAAAACAATATTTATTGTACATCTCCAATAACAGATTTAATTGGTATTCAGTGAGGATTCTCAAACATGAAACATACATACATGACAGACAAAACCTCTACATCAGTGGTCCCCAACGCGGAGACCGCGGGGGACATGGCGCCCGCCAAGGCTTTTTTTGGGTGCTCGCGTTGTTACGGAAAGAGTTTATACTGAATAATGAAGGCTGTTCAACCATGAACATTATAAAATCAAAGCGCAGATCTCGACTTGACGATTGTTTGCGAGCGGCAACATCATCCTATACTCCCAAATTTGAAAAACTGGCCGATTAAATGCAGCGCCAAACATCACACCAACTTCCCACTTGAGTAATAATAATTGTGCTTATAAAAGTACGTATTTTTGGTTGCATCATTAAACGTCGTGTTGTTTTGTGTATTATTTTGTGTCCATATCTTATTTGTCCAGAGAAAAGAAAATTTGGCTTTGTTAATTGGTTGGTGCCCGCCACGATCTCATAAACTCTCAAATGTGCCCGTAGGCACAAAAAGGTTGGGGACCACTGAGGTAGGTTGTGTGTTCATTTTACGCTCTTCATACAAAGAATGTGAAAACATGAAGTCACAGAGACCTCAGTATCAAATAATGTTTACTCACACTGTAAAACAATAAACCAAGTATCTCACTTATACAAAAAAAATTGTTCCCTTGCACACCGAGTTGGGCGAGAACTGTAAAACAGTTTCCAAGAAGAAGGTTGGAAATACATAAGGTGCCTGCTTGAAGGTCAATACCTACCGGGGTACTTCTTCAGTCTGCACACATCCACACTGGGTTGATAACCAACTCGTATCCACTGTCACTGTATCGGAAGGCGTTGAACCATCAGCGCCTCCCTCTGCTTCTGTTGTTGACTCTTCATTATGTGACTGAAGCTTGCAATTTTTAAAACAATAAAATTGGAAGGAAGAATTCCATTCTTTACCTTAGCCTCTATTATATTTAGTTACATGTATCGTCACATGATCGGAATGAATTTAAAAAAAAAATCAGTGAAATATGGAAACGATATAAAGTCACGAACTATATGATTAGAATGAACATCTATTCATTTGAGATTATCTTTAATTCTATAGTACTTTATATATAGTGATATAATAAATAATCAGATTACACTAACTTGTGTTCAAATTAATAAATTTTCACACAAATACATGTAAAGAATAATGAATTCTTCTTGGGTTACCAGCCATGTGACAGGTGGCTGAAAGGTTAAAACACCGACCTTTCGAGAACTACCTTAGTCCTCGTCCTCAGGGTACTTAAGTGTTTGGAGAACCAAACAAACAAAAAGCTAAGGACGGAGTTCTGCGCAAGCGCAAGGCATCGTCATCGTACCTTGTTTATAGGTTACACCATTCCTGTGTACGAGACGTATTGTTGGATATGGTAAACAGTGCCTTACAACTAAAACGGTGGTCTGCTTACGCTAACGGGGATTTTGTGGTGGCGGAAGGCCCTGAATATTCAAACTAGGGTCTATTGCTGCTAATAGGAGGTTATACCTTCAGGAAACTTGATTTTAGTTCGATGGCTCTATGGGATTTGAACCCAGAAGGGGCGGGAATCGCTTTGGCTGATGGCGTCTGCGACTTGGGGGAAAATCACTTCAGTTGAAGGGCTCCATGACTGGGGAGGGCGATCCGTTTGACTTATACCCTGGAATTTGCCTTACAACTGAGGACAAGCACGGGAAACCTCAGTCACGGTAGCCGAGTGGTTAGACCACTCATTGCACCGACTTGGTCGTCTTTTCAGGGACAACCTCGGCTGGCCTGCTGAGCATCAGGTCCCCTCGGTTGCCCTGGTATTAAACAGAATCATGCATTCCCAGTCGGCACCAGTACCTTCCAAGTTGGCGAACTAAGGGGTTCGCAGCATCAGCTAATTTTAAGCCGAAGCTCCGAACGATGGAATCCCCAAATCCTCGTGAATTTCCCTGTTACCAACGTGCCAAGGCGAGTTAGTCGCAATGTGAAGACACGGATTGTAAGACTTGCAGCTTCCGGCCGTGGCTGCTGACCTCCAAATAGGGCATGCATAATCCATAATATATAATAAAACCCACCTTGGTTCCTTCCATTTTCTTCACAAATTTCTTTGGCTGAAAATCGTCCATGTCTTCATCATCGTCTTCATCATAATACACGATTCCACGGTCTATGCAAAGAAAAAAGGTAAATTAAATAAGATTATGTAGTAACAAGAAACTCATACACGCAGTGTTTCTTAGAGCAGCAACATAATGGTTCATCGCACTAATCTGATAAAAGATCAATGATGTATTCCAAACTGGTAGAAACATATTTTCTAAATGAATTCTTTGCAACTGCCCTGATGTTCACTTATTGCAGATACAAATATATAGATGTAAAGCATATTATGCATGCTATATACCACCATGAGGACCTCAAATCTCAACATGTGGTGTATCTACAAAGCAACAAATTACTAATTTGATAACCAGGATTCGCAGTTCTCATGGCAGTGAGAATAAAGATTTGTAACGCTGTGTTGTCTGGTAGAACGTAAACTTCTACCACATTACATGGTGCTATAAGCAAAGTTATTGATACTAATCGCCAATTTATTGTAGATTTAACAGTAGACATACAATAAATTTTATACTCCTGTTAATATTTTAACATTCATAACTCCATAATCACACTGATATGACATTTTTCGTACAGAATCATCAGATTAACAACATCCCAAGATTCGGTCACTTCCCTCTGGGCCATCTCATATAGCAATAATAACATTTGTAAAATACAAGAGAAAGAGGTTATATGAATTTATCAATATCCCACCCTTACAATTCATATAACTGGTAGATATATTGATAATGGACAGCCTTTTGCAAACCCTAATGATGTATGTGTTCAGCACTGCGAATTCCTGTACCATCAATAAACCAGGAAGGACAAACAACACCGGCTTCTAACTGTAGCATAAAAATGTTGTGAAATGAGGCAAACCTATCCAAGTAACAGAGAAAATATATAATCATCTCCCTTAGTTCAACTAAAAGGTCCATATACGTACAAAGACATGAGTACAAATTAAAATTCCCGCAGACCACAACAGTTAACCCTCATAAACTAACACTTTGAGCAGACATGTATATTTGAATACGGGAAGAGGAAGGGGTTGACATCACAGAGCGAGTATATTAAAGGCTTGCATCACTTAAAACTAGGATGAAAAGCCACATTTAAACAACTGTGTGCTACTAAAAGGAAATGGAAATGTCTGAAACAGCTAAGATATTAATGCTTACCATGTATCACACCGTTGCAGAATGAAAGCATACCATAAGCATTTTACAGACCGTTTCTGAAAGAAACAGAATTTACCACCCCATGCAGTTATTGAGATTTGAACGAGTCATATTAACTTATGAATGAACTGGTCTCAATATTAGAATCATGCTATTAGAGATTCAAAAATTTCAAGAATTACAATATAGTCATCATGAGAAATTCTAAAATGGGAACAACTACACGGTCATTGACTGTACATTTCTGAAGTGACGAATGTAATATTTTATTGCATTTCAAGTCGTAAATAATGACATAGCACAGCGAAAGATACCCATTTTATATTCGGTGATATCTGATTCACCTGAATATGAAATTTAGCATGGCGGCCATAAATACTGTAGAAATATTAATTTTTCGTGTACAACTTCGGCTTTCGGGTATGAACTGAGTCGAATGTTAAAAGTTATACGACGTTTCGGCAAACATTGCAGCTGTCGTCTTCAAGGTAAATACGTAATAACTGGGCGTTTCTGGAACCCTTACATAAGCAGGTAGTAGATGGCGATATATATATATATATATATATATATATATATAAATATAAATATAATGTTTCCAATTGAAGATGAGGTGATATAACTTTTAAAGGACATGTGGTGATAAGAAGAGGTGACGAGTAAAGTTTTGGGAACCATGTGAATCGGGAAAAAAATTTCAGCGACTGTGTGTGGAAAAATACCAATATGGCGATGGTGCGAACCTCCGCAGTTAAGTTTTAAAAATTAAACCCTTCAATGCGTTGGGTTCGACCCAATTTATTAGTGGTGGAACGGGTTCAGTTTCTGAAACCAGTCATGCTTATTCCGCGACACGCTACGCCAATATTCAATACCGAGAGGCGATGTCAAAGAAAGAGAGCTTTGTGTACAGCGTGTACTGTGGATTGAAATCTTCTGGATTGTGGTGCGGTGCAGTCTTGTAGATGGTGACGTCCACCTTGAAGATGGATGCGATACGTTCCTCCGGAACGTTGGTAACCACAAACAAAAGTACACGACGTCATGATTTAAAAGACCAGGAAAACCGCAATCTCACAGAATATGTGCTGATCATTTTTAATGAACTACACTGCGGTGAAAGAGAACCACGCAGGAAAACACTCCAACGCTTCGCGCCAGACTATTTACAGTTTGAAGCAATTCCGATATCAACCACGACGTACCATTCTTTGAGGAACTTAGCCTGAAATCTACCAGGCCGCGCTACATCTACCGTTTTAGCACTCGGATGAAAGTCTGCGCAGTAGCAGTTCCATATACTTCCTTCTAGGCATAGAATGGACAGCGATTCCTAGGGATATTTTCCAACTATACCTCACCTACAGTGAACGGGTTTGCTTTGTACAAAAGTAGAGGATCATCTTTTTAATCTCGGAGTCGCCGTCGTCAGGGTGACATCATAGCCTATGGCTCTCGGCATCATACAAAATAGTCTGTGCAGTAATTCCCAGTGAATGTAATCAGCCAGCCAACCATGCACGATGCTGACTGTTATAACTTCAATGGGCAAGGTAGGGATAAAAAAGAAACAAGCAAAAAAATTCCCAACAGAACATTTCTGAAGATGGAACGCTTACAAACAACATCATCACCAACAACAATAACATATCACAACGGAAAAACATATCGTCTCCATCTTCAGGACTGAAAATGGAGTATGTTTCTCCGGATCGGTGGTATGTACCTACAGCTCTGCATGGCGTTACAACCCAGAAGACCAACATCGACACGTATATCATCACATACGTCTATGTAACACATGATGGTCTCCAGCCTTTAAGTTTTCCAACCCAAATGTAATTTCTCACATAATCACCAGGTGCTGCATGCCTTTACATATGCCATCGTAAGTGATTCGACAATCCTAAAAATGAAGATTTCTGTCTTCTGGGTTGTTGCGCTGTGTAGTCTGGGCGATGTTTACCAACGTTTCAGAGGTCATCAGGGCGATTCATCGCCCTGATGATGGAGGCAGTATGACCTCTGAAACGTTGGTAAACATCGCCCAGACTACACAGCGCAACAACCCCGAAGACAGAAATCTTCATACTCACCGCTGTGAAAACTTAAAATCTTACAATCCTAATAATGTTTGTTGGAGAGTATAAATCATGGATCTCCTCATTATGCAGTTTTCTTCATCCTCCTGTCCCTTTATCCCTGCTTCGTCCAAACATTCTACTCAGCATCCAGTTCGCAAACATCTTCAATATGTGTTCTTCACTTTATGTGAGAGATCAAGTTTCACACCCATACAAAACAACGAGCAAAATTACAGTTTTCTACATTTTAACCTTTACGTTTTAACACAGCAGATGGAAAGACAAAATAACCTGAAATGCGTGATAATAAGCATTCTCCGAATTTATTCCTATTTTAATTACTTCCTGAATCCAATTCTGATTTGATAATGTCGTTCCTAACTGAATGAATCATATAAAACACTTCTTAATCTGTCGTATGTCCATTTATTTCCTCTGTAACATTATAATCAAGCTATGTGAAACTGACAGTGACTAACTAATATTTTCTTGAAATCTGTTATATTTAGTTATATTAGATCGTTACAGCTTTTCTGTTAATTGATGAATTCAGCTCTATTCGAAAGACGAAGCGACGTTCGAACTTGGTGAAACAGTATGGTGACGTGAGGATCCCCCAGACGGAATACACGCTAACGTAAACCCCGTGGACCGAACCAAATGTTGAGAAAGAATGCGTTAAAGCTTAAATTGGACCGGCCGTGTGCCGAGTTTTAAATTGCATTCTGTAAGCGCAACCCCCCCCCCCCACACACACACACACACGTCTCCCGTTCCCTCTCTCTTCCATTTACTCCCTGTCAGCATTCATACATGCACGCAGAGCATTTCGAATTTACTCCCCCCAGCCAAAAACAGAACCCTTTTCCATACTCTCTTTACATGCAACAAAAATTTCGAGAACGAGAATGCTCATAATTTGTATAACTTATCCAATATTACTAGCGCGATCTAATTGATAATGGTGAGATAGGCGGAGAAAGTAGTACGCGTGGCTAATATTAGAAATACATACAGTCAAAACCTGAACGGAACAGACCACTTGGCAGATAGATGTGATAATATTAAAATATATCTTAACTTCTGAGATTATGGACTGCCTCACGATAGTCAGGTACCAATCACGGGTTCTTGTGAATACGGTAAAGAACCATCTGGTTCCATAAAAGCAAATCATTTCTTGATCTGCTGAGCTACTGCTAGCTTCTAGGTGCTGCATGGAGTTAGTTTCAACCTGTGATTGGTGTGCCTGTTCTTTATACTGTATGGGAGGAAGCGGTAGTGACCTATTTTAAGGCACTATCCCGACGTCTGCCTGTAAGAACTTATTAAAACTAAGGAAATCAAATTATTCGGTGTCTGGGTTGATATTCGAATCCCTGACCTGCAGAATACTGAGCAGAAGTGCCAACAACTATACTATACTTGTATACGTTTTGTTCTCTCTGTTCTTCAGTTAGTTAAGGCAAAAGTTAAGTTCTAATTTTATTATAACCGTCTGAAAAAAAAACACACGAAGAGATACAGCGTATGTCAAACTGCTATTGCCACCAACATCCGGTAAGACGCTAATCAACAACAGAAAGTGAAGAAGCCTTCGTATCAACGAGCGAGTGGCAAGCAACAAACAATACCGAACCAAGCAATGTTGCAGAGAAATACCCAGAACCCTAAGAACCAACACTGTCATAGGGGACATGATTTTTCAATAGCATCCAGCCAGGCAGGACACGAGGGATGGAGTGAATGGGGTGGGTAGGATGGGGTGGTCAAAATTCAATTACAGAGAGCTCGTG